AAGGTTTCATGTCTATCGCTCGGATACCTTAACTGGGCGTCGCGTGCATATATAGTATATAATATACAATATAATGATATATATGATAATATAATATCAATATAATATGTAATGGATGCAATAACCTGAAACATGAAGCGTGCAAAATTTCCAAGTGAATTTTTTCGAGTTTTTTATCAGGTTCCCATGAAATCTCAAGTCAACGAAATGCAACACCCATAGGTCAGGAAATACAATACTCAGTGATATACTTCAACAAAAAATGTTTAATGACAAAAAGTGAGTACTTATTCATTTCAAACCAGTCGCCCCTTTTTCGCTAAAAGTTACAATCAACTAGAGAGTAGTTTCACTTGACTCGGTGATCCGCGAGCAGGCAAGTCCACTGTCACACGCACAATCAGTTAAAAAACAGTTAATGCTAACTATCGCGCACACGATCAAATTGCGCAACCTGCTGCATCTTCGTCATCGTCATCTGTAGGTTACTGTTTTAATCAGTATTGTGGGACTCAGAGTAGTCACCTAATCAGTGTCGGTTTGGCAAACTAAGTCCGGGCGTTACGAACATTCATTTGACTGTTTGTAAACGTTCCGCTTAATGTGGCAAGCCAAGCTGTCGTTCGACTGTTCGTTTCCCGATTTTCGTTTTGGTCGTTGATCAAAGACTTCTTTTTCGTTTGCTACTGTGGACCTACTACGTTGGCAGGTAAGTTAACATGGTATTTGCAAACTAACACGCTTGCCCTCCATCGGGAACCCAAACCCCACGATGTCCCCATAAGCTTTGAAGTCCAATTGTCCGAAGTGTACGCTGCGAGTAAGCTGCAATGCGAAGTCACCCCGTTCGAGAAGGACCCCTACAAGGCCAATAAGAGGACGATGATGGACATCAGTGTGTTAGTAAAACTTCGTCCTAGTGAAAGCGAACAACGCCGTGCCTCTCTAGGGCACCAAAGCCCCGTAGAACTAAAGAAGAAATTACAAACATGTCTGGTCCTGGAACGGGTACCATCCTTGAAAATATCTGCCAAAAATTGTGTAGGATTCTGTATGCAAAATAGGACATCCAAATATGAATCCACCGATGACCAGCTGGCGAGATCCGAAGCTTGGTATAGCATGTATGACCAAGTGTTTTGACGCCATAAGGATGAGAGATTCGCCAACTCATCGGTGTACTGCATAGTACAGCTGCGATTTATCAAGCAAAATCGCCTTATCTGTGGATACAGTAAAAACGGACTAAATGTGACTTTTGAATGACATCAGGCCAGGAAGCATGCTGGTGGGCTTCAGACAATTCCTGAACTATCATCATGGATATTTGTAGAAACCACTAAGTCTTGAAGAAGGGTGTGCACGCGTTATCTTAGGTTTTTACCGAAGATGATAAAAGTATGACTTAGCTCAGAAAAGCAGCCGTTCAAGTCCTCGAAGCTCAAACGCGTCCTCGTAAGCTAACTTTACTTAAAGGCAAGAATATGTCTCCCCGCCAGTTGGCATCGCTGAATTGCCCTGTTCAAAAGTATTTTCACAAAGCCTCTGAAGGAAATTTGGTTCACCAGTTGGTTGCCTCATCTTGAATGGTGTCGCGATACCGTGATACCATGACCGGTACGACTGAACTCTTAAATCGCCCTACGGTTTTTCCCACTCACTGCTTTAGACGGGGCCTTCGCACTTGGTCATTTCTGGTTGATAAGACCACTCCCATGTCACGGTAATGAGCTGGGCATCTAACAGTCGTGAGTATTTCGAACAGTTTAGAATTTACTTTGAACGTGGGGGACAGTTTTGCCTGAGGTTGCAAGTAAGTCTTTAATGGGTCTATCCGAATGGTACGAATATTTTCAGCAACCAGAGCTGCGCACTTTTGCTTTACATCACCACCCACATTATAATGTATGTTTTAGCTTGGCGATGAAACACCTTGCCTAGCCCAAGTACGTTGTTTCCATAGATGATACACCTCCATCACGTCCCACTGTATCAGTGTTTTGCGGTGAAATGAGCAATCTATGGTCGTTAGAACAAAGAAAAAAGTCGTATTAGACTACATTACCATTCTTGGGATCACAATGTTCCGATATCTTAAAATGCACTGAGTTTTTGAATGGTTTCAACCACACTTTGAAGCCCTTCCAATATACAAAATCTCAAAGATCCGGAGTCATGAACAGACGAAATGCTAATCATAGCATTCGAATCCTTTCACGCGAAATCCGAAATGTCATCAAACGTTCACGTGTAACATACCATCCAAAATGCCAGCTGCGTGGTCACCTAACTTCATACCATTCCTTAGTAAATTGTAAAAAAGCTTTGCGTCACAATCTAGTTAATTACAAAGAAAGAGTAACAGTCATACTGAGTGTTACATGACGACGGGTATCCAGGAACGTTCACTGAAAGAAGCGTTGGAGAAACGGAATTTGAAAAATAAAAAACACAGGGACACGTGATGAGCTACTTCTGTTCTCCTGGATTCGGAAGGTATGTAAATAACCAGCACGTCTGTGACAACCACGTGAAATCTCAGTGACTGGAAAACCGACTTCTATCCTTAGAAGCGTGAGATTAGAAAATATGACCAGAACAGCGCAAACTGCAACAAATACAATGGCAGACAGACTGTAAGGAAACTGTCAACACAGAGTGACCAGCCCATGGTGAAGATGGCCTTTCTTTGAAGTTTTCAAGCGTGGCGATTTGTGTGCTTTGAGATATAAAAAACAAATGGGAAAAATTCCCAGAAGCTTTTCCCACCCGAGACATTTAGTCACTAGACATGTTGACTTTGACTAATTCAATGAAAATGATATTTTAAATGCAATAAGATGAGGAAAGCACAACTGTTATGTCGGATAGCTGTGGCAAACGATAAGATTACCCACTGGACCATACTGGGGAGGAACACTTAGTACAAATCTGAAGGGTTTATCTGACACATCATCTGGATATTAGCGCACCAGAGCCCGAGTGAACAACTCAAATTGTAACAAGAAAATTGTCTCGTCAACATGCTTGCCCCTGTCGATGGTCGCTAGCCCACTTGAGGAGTATATTTACAGGCTCACCGGGCCAAAAGCTCCGGAAAAAACATACTGAATCAGTTCTGTGGTTCTCTGCGTTGGTGGTGTCACTTTATGGATGACACTTTGTGTTTGACGGGGTCAGACAAACCCCTTGTTGGTATGTTGTTGGTATCTACCAGAGCGAGCGCGAGACGAATGATGCTGTTGGTGGTGTGAGTGGCTTAGAAACTTTGTTCGAAAATTCATCTTGCAGCTAAATCAATAATCTATGCTAAAAGGTTGTGGAGAGCCTGACATTTCAGCATAGATTAGCTTCATTTACACGGCGAAATCCACATTACGAGTGGTCTAGTAGACGATACGTATTGCTCTTCCTTCTATTGCTTGAAAGTCAACACCGATTGTGCTGGAAACCTTCCTTTAAAGTCCTATTATTTCGGTACGTCTTCTAATTTACCGAGGGGTTTTAAAGTTTATTCGGTGGGGAAAGCTTTTGAACTACCAGGCTAGTTAGAGTGAAATATCTAATTCGATGTACATTGTATAGTCGATCATATTCACAAAGAAACTTTTGGCCATTTGCTCCATATGGAGTACAAGTA